GAATAAAAAACAAGGAACTGCCTTAGCGCAGGATGCCAAAAGATCATAACCGAATTAGCAATTTAATAAACGTCTATAGCAAGACCTCATGCTCAAGAGAAAAGTGAAAACACGACCAGATTCGGATAAACGTTCAAACGCTATATAAAAATTGTAAAGATACATTAAACACTTTACAACTAACACATCGTTTTAAGAAGTCATAAGGTGCTTGAGAAACACATGGGAGACTTGTGATGGAAATCGTCAAATCGTTTCAATCGCGCTACCAAGAATATTCGCCTTCATCTGCACAAGCGGATGCAGATTTTTTACCACCTTTGGCCGCATTCCAAAAGTCATATTCTTTCAGAATGGTTTCGACAAACGGAGTGATGTAATTTTCTTCTTCGAGATTGTACTTTTTCAACATCGAGACGCAGAAACTTCTAAGTTCATCCATCTGTAAAAATGTAGCTTCTGCGCAAAGTCTGAAACAAAAAACAAATAAAAGATTCTGTATAGTTTTAAACTTAAAGGCAAGCAGCAGGTCATGATTAGAAGAAGACGTTATGAAAAGAAACATCTGTCATCCACTCGATATGTTTTCGACAGTAGCCATGCAAAAGATGCCAGAAAAGGTTTAGCCCCTCTTCTTGGTGTTGTGTCCTCAGCTTCAAAATTCTTTCCCTCATCCTCATTGGGTCGTCCTAGCGCATTGCTGAAAGAGGGAATAATAAAGTTAGTGATTCGGGATGTTTACCGTTTTTGCTTCAGTCGAGGCACTCGACCAGCCCATTGTCTGTACGAGCGGTAGACAGCAGCGAGTACATCCAAACATTGTACCTGACACCAAAGTGTAGCACTTGGAATATGATCTCGAAGGCAGACTTTGCCCATTCTACTTTCCATTAGCATTTGCCTTATTACTTGTTTCTTTTCCTTAGTCTCGATGGTAGATCACCACATCGCGTCATAACTCATGGATGGTAGAACGTGCGAGTCGAATAGTGTTTTCTTCTTGGGCAGCGTTGTTTAACAGTCATGTGACCTTATTTAAGGTTTTATGTGCGCATTATGGAATTATGGATTAAAAAGAATTTTTTTTAGAAATGTTTCGTTTCGCATACCTCGCCAACTCGTCAGGCTTAGACGGCAAGCAAAAAACCGCAGGAATCTTTTCCTTCTTGAACCGCAAATAATTCAGTACATGACGGAACGTCTTGCCGTCGCGGTCCAGAAATGTGTGGCCAGCTTTGTCAGTGATGTAGCTCTTACTTGAACCGGGCTTGAACCAATCGGCCAACTTGCTACGCTGATCAACAGTGAGCAGCGATCGACTGAGGGTATACCGTTTACCCCCAATGCTGATAGTTAAAATCTCATCATTCGGTTTCACCGCCATGTGACTCGTGGCTGAGTCAAGAACTGACTATGCCCTGAAGTCCAATGTGTGCAAGTTCATTGATTGAATATCATCGACTTGTCACGAGTGCCAAAGTTGAACGAATTGAGGAAAGAACTCGTTGCGATTAGAGGTGTTTCAAAGAACTGACTTCATAGCAATCATTTAAAGAATTGCATCAATAAATGCGCTAATCCTCAATGATTAATGAATATGTCTAAATAATTGATTGCTGTTCTACTAAGTTCAACTGTTTGGTAATGCGCATCTGTCCGCACAATGGGAAAGCATATTATCGTTTGCGCATCTTTAAATGATGCCAACAGATCAATGCTATTCTTATACGTTCAGGTTTTAAGAAGACCAGAAGCGAAGTTACTTATGCTGGAGTGCTAGTAATTACATCATGGTCGACTTGAGTGGTTTTTGCTCCATGAAGCTGAATTTTTATTGTTCGTATAGAACCTTTCCGGCTATCGATAAGTTTTGTCCAACATTCGTTGCCTTCGACGTTTGCATTTATTACTGTTATTAGCTTCAATCTCAGTGACATGATATACCGGCGATTAAAGGGATGCTAAAGAAACCAGAAGGGAATAATTGTTTGAGAGCATTTATTAATGCATTGTTTGTACAAGACGGAGTCAAAAATTGCACTGTTTTTCCTATGCAATTATCCCATTGCCATCAAATCAGCTGGAAGAACACAAATTTACCAACCGGCACTTTGGGACCAATCGATCGCCCCGATGGCTTAGGTAGCCAGCAGATTTCTGCGCATTTCTCTATTACTAAGCCTAACACAACACCTTGAATCAAGTTCGAAGAGGGACAGAAAGAAAATCTCTAATTTTTAAGCTACTGGCTACAAAAACTGACAGCATTTAGGTGAGTTCATGAAACTCATTTCGACTGGATATAAAAATTACGCAGAATAAAATGAGACAACACATTGAGTCTAAAGGAATAACAAAGTGGAAATGAAACAAAGAAAATGTGAGTCGTGTGACCATCTGCCCATTCCTGGTTTTGACAAACAATTTGACGAACAATTATTCAACATACGTAGACGCTGGAGATGACCGACAAACGGGTACCGAAAGCTCAGGTACTTTTTACTCGCTACTCGACGGTACTCTGCGGAATAAGCATATTGATTTGCCATGCCTTATCATAAATTCAATTATTTTACGCTAAACCTTGGTATTGGGAAAAACATTTTTCATTCGAAGCCTCGACATATCTACAGTCTTCTGTTGACGCATGTCCTTCCGTGTGATGCGGAACAAAGGGGGAGGGGTCATCAGTACGCATACGTGATGCTTAAATCGATTTGAATTTCTGAATATCCAGATACATACCACAGACAATTTGCTTGACGCAGAGATCGCATTTAGTCCATTCTGTTGGACCACGCACAGAAGCTGTTTATAAAAACAGTTTAAGCAAATGAATCATTGTTGTTAATACAGTATGATTTTGAATGTTGATGATAAGCTTTAATATGGAACATACTGATTTGATCGAGACGCGCCTTTCTTTTCATCAGAACGATGGTCTTCTTGTCGCACAGAAACAGTGATCTGTCCGACCAAGGACTTTGCTTCGTGCTCATTTAATGGCAACATGTTCTCGCCATGAGGTTGTCAGTTTTCACCAGCAAATTATAAGCAACACGATGGCGGTTAGGTGGTCGCAACCTTTACCGCAGTCGCATTGTCAGAGTTAGCTTATTTCCCCGATTTCTTGCCTATCGCAGTCAATTCAGAAATCTAATGGTTTTTCTCACTATCAGCTGAATTGCAATTGTTCATTCCTTGATAAAGAAGAGGATTGCAATTGTGAAACAGCAGAAGATTTCTGTAATCCTAATTCACACTGGCTTGAGATCCTCCCTTTGGTAGTAATTTGGTCTACATTACTTGAGTAAGAAGCCCGACTTGGAATATAATGTTACAAGTCGCATGCTAAAGTATACGTGAGGTTATTGATTCAGATTTTATGTTGAATTTGAAATGCGGATGATATGCATTATTCAAGAACATTTTATTTCCTTTGATAAACGTGTAGCAATAATCAAATTTAATCATAAATCATGCATCCTTCGCTCGTCAAAAGCAAGCTACAGTGGCATGCAGGTACTTTCTTCTGAAATACGAAAATGAATTACCAGAAGGAAAGAGTTCGATCATACCTGGAATAAGCTTCAATGTACCACTGTTAAATCCACCGAAGTTTGCGGACGGCAAGTAAGATTTCAGCTTCGGCAGGTAACTATCCATCGCTTTCCGGTCAAGGAACATAAGGATGCGCATGTAAATTCGGTAATTTCCCGGAGTTCCAGTGGATATGTCCCTTAATCAAAGCTAAACGATTAAAATAATTCGCCAACTACAGTATAATCGACAGTCGTGATAATTTTTATAGATTTTAACCATCAAGGCGCTGGTGTTATTGATTTGGTCATTGGGCACAGGCAACGACCGAATTGGATAGTTCTACAAATCAGAACCGAATGACCCAAATGACATGACGTTTCACATTGCATTAAAGTTGTACGTTTCTGAGGCAAAGGGAATGTTTATAACTCCAAACAAAAGTGCGTCGAGCTTGGTTCCTAAGTGGCATGCGAGAAAAGCGTTGGGTAAAATTAATTTCCAGACAGATATGACGAATTAACTGAATACTGACAATCGATCTTGATTTATTTTAATGCCAGGTTTCTGTTCAGAAGTATTTAATTCGTAGCCAGAGGGGTCCATTCTTGTCGCCCTGGAGTTTGGCCATCTGCGAAAGCACAGTAAACCTTGCATGGCGTTCAGGGAGCGGCACTGGCAAGTCTCAACAGCCTGTGCTGTGATAATGGAATCGATCCAAAGAATAAAGCTTTAGCTAGAATTGGCGGTGGTGCCTACTGTCATGCATGGCTGAAAATAAAGACGATGATTCGACGACATGTGGAAATTTTATTTAGCACTTATTGTCTACTTCCAGCAAGAAATTTGCCTTATTGTGCTACTGCGCAGCCCGCTTAGAAATGGAAAGCAACTGCATGAGCAGTGTTACACTGATGTGCTATGCAACAGAATTATGCCATTATGTCGCTATGTCAGGGATCCCGAGACTGAGGAGCGTTCTCCTCAGTCTACACTAGTATCTCAAATGTAAAGGCTGATTCATATCGTAACTTACTTTATGAAATAGAAGTTAAGTATGCCTTACAGGTAAAAGGAGTGACTAAAATTGAAAGGGCGCGATTTCACAGGATGGCGAAGCCTCAACTGCACTTATTTTGGCAACATTTGTGAATGCTTATAGTAGAAAGGACAAAAGAGCTATTACTTGCTCAACCGGTCGACCCAAGTCCCCGAGAACGGCACTGAATGACGGAAATTTCTCGAGGGGCCATGTTCAAGACTTAGGTAACGTTCTATCGAAGTTCAGCTGGAGGCACAGAATCGAGAGCCTTTGAGGAACTGTTTGATATCTTATGCTGCTTTATCTACGACCCGAAGGGATAAGCAGTTATCAAAAATATTTACTGGATAGCTGAAGACAGACAGACAGGCGGGCAGACTGATTGGTAGGAAGACAGGCAGACAGACAGAAGTGATTGTATGCAATAATTTTAAGAAATAACTGATTGTTCAATTTTTTATCTAGAATTAAGGAAAACAACTTCAATCAGACTTTATCACTACAATGATAAATGTTAGTTTCATTTTAGACGGATTAAGGCAAGCATGCAGACACTTTAAAATGCATTTATTCCATTCAAAACAGTAAGTACTCAAATGCAAATTCCACTTTGAAAATCCTTTAAAATTCTTCCTTCATGCATTCGCTTTCTCCCACGGTGTCGTCATTTTCAAACCGTAAATTAATATTTCAAAATGCTTTCTTAAAACGTTGATATAGACAATTATTTCGTCGCTCAGTAGAGGCTTGTAGTAAGGTCACAATTCGCCTTAGTAGATATGTTGGAATGACACAAAAATCCACAAGACTTTTACTGCCGTTTAGAGGTTTGCTAATGTCTTGACATCGTTTAGCGAGGAGTATACATTTCACTATACCTTGTGCGATAATTTTATGATTGATAGTCCACTGTAACGATAGGCTTGAGGAAAGACTCTTGAGAGGAAGTTAAACCACACTCTGCTGTGATAAATCTTATCATCTAAAGATATAAATCACAGCAACAACGTGTACTTGTCTAAAATGAAAGCGAAAATGTGTTTATGAACTCAACCTTTTGTTTGTCATAAGTAGATTGGTTACGAAAATGTTTTGGTAGTAAATCTGCTTTTGGCGAGAAACGCAGTCTATCAGACAAGACATCTAGCAGACACTGATACCAAAGGAGTATTTCAAACACTTTTCAGTGGGGTAAACATAGCTTTAAATACCTGAACAACCTCACGATTCTAACCAATTGAGTACTCAATATTAAATGAAATGGTCCATGGTGACTAATCTCCAAAGCCACGCGTTTCACCAATCATAGCCGTTTGGAAATGGTTCCCCAATCGGAATGGCATTCGTTATTGAAACAGCTACTAAGGAAAATAAAATCAGCTTTTCAAAAATGAGCTTCTAATTACTAAAATGGTTAGAGTAAAATAAATATCATAATCGTTTATTTATGATATTGCCATTAGTTTATTACTGCATTGCGGAAAGGAACGAGCGTTGATACAAGTCACAACAACGGCTCTTCGCGAGGGCGTTGAGAATCTAAAAGACACGAACTTATTTAAGCAGCCCATTATGTGCGGAAAAAAGAACTGCATTACTTGGAACTCAATCGCTTT